CTACCTCCAGAGCTTTAGATGCCATAAATATGACACATTAAGTTGACATTTCCAACTCTGCCCTCTTCCTGAGCTCCTGGTCCTTCTGTCCAACTGCTTCCTGGACATCACCTCTTGTTTGTCTATGAGGCATCTCAAGCTTCCCATGAAGGAAACCTGACTCTTATTTTCTCCTTTCTAGACCGTACCCCAAACACGTTCTCATCTTAATGACATCACCACTGCTAAGCCTCAAAACCTAGGCATCCTTGCTACATCCATCTCACCCCTGACAGAGGTGGAGCCCCCACGAAGCTCATGAAGTTTGAGCTGCAGGCCCTTCACTTGCACAGAACCCTTCCAAGATACCTCATTTTGTATTCAGTTTATTTTTCTTATAGAGGGCCCTCAAATTATGTACGTTTCAGGTCCCACAAAACTTGGATCTGCCTCTGCACCCTACATCCGGCTCTATTTCCAAAAGAAAAGTATCTAAATCTGACCACTTTGGACATGGTGGGTGGCTGTAGTCCAGGCCACTATCTTCTCTGACCTGGAGTCCTATAATGACCTCCTAATACTCTCTCAGCTTCCCCACTCCCTCCTACAGTGCATTTCCTATGTAGCAGCCAGAATGATCTTTTAAAGCTGATTTCCAGGTCATACCTCTTACTTAACCATCAAATGGTTTCTCATTCCACTTAGAAAGTCATACAACTAAACTATCACAATGTCCTAGGTGATCTGGCCACTGCCTACCCCCCAGCCCCTTCTCTCAGTGCTTACTCCCCTCTCACTATAGTCTTTCCTTGTTGGAATACACCAGATTCATTTTTGTCTTAGGGTTTTTGTACCCCCGTCTCCTTTGTTTGGGGGAATTTCCCTCATTTCTTCACTTGTCTCCCCATCTTTCAAGTCTCAACTCAAATATCACCTCCCCTCAAAAGACTATGTCCCTAAAGTAGTAGCCAACTCTGCCCCAGTCATTCTTGATCTCATTTTCCTTTTCTTCAGTGGTCACTATATAAAATTATCTTTTCTACCCAATTTACTTGTTCATTGCCTGATATCTTTGAAAAGATTATGAGCTCCATGGAGGTGGGAACCCAGTCTACTTGCTCACTACTGAATCACAACAGCCTATGAGTGCCTACTGCAGAGAAGGTGCCCAATGAATATTTGCTAAAAAATTGTTTGTTGAATAAATACTAACAATAAAATATGGCATGAAAAACTACTATACAGAGTGGGTAGAACTGAAGAATATGAACTATTATAAAGTTCCTTTTGTTTCTTCCTCATGAACTTTAGACCATTAAAAAATCTATCCTGCCAGGGGATGCTAATTTGAGATGTGGATTGATGTCACAATTAATATTCCACTATGTATGCCATCATAATGCATGAGGCAAAATGTGTATGTCATTGTGTCTAAATTGTAAGATACCTGCTATAAATAGCAAATAGATGGAGAGGAAAATATATATACTAAATCATATCCGAATCTCCCTCCTCCCTCACCCCCAATACTGGTTTAGGAATGTTCAGAAGGTTTGAGGGTTATGAATGTTATCATCCATGTATTTTGAACTGAGTTAAAAATATTGTGAAAATAGAAAAACAATAATTGAGATCTGGATCCATTTCCTTCAGATCTCTAAGGAAAAACATTTTTTAAAAATAATAGCTTTCTTGAGATATAATTCACATTCCATAAAGTTCACCCTTTTATTTTTTTAGGGAAAGTTTATTCGTTTATTTAGGAATAAACTTTCCCTAAAAGAAGTGAGGTAGAAGAAGTGAGCCATAGAAGAAATGGAGAAATGGGCTCAGGAAACAAGTTACAGCTAAAAAGTTCCCTTGGATCTTAGGGGAAAGGGGGAGAGAGAGAGAGAGAGAGAGAGAGAGAGAGAGAGAGAGAGAGAGAGAGAGACTCCTTGAGAGACAAAAGAGGAAAGAGAGGTTCCCGCAGTGTGCTTGGGGTGGAATGTCCTGGGGAAAGGAGGAGGTGGGGAAAGGCACCTCGAGCTCCCAGCCTCACAGTTCACCCTTTTAAAGTATACAATAGAGTGTTTCATATATTCAGAGTTGTGCATCCATCACCACTACCAGATTCCAGAACATTTTTATCACCTCAAAAAGAATCTCCATATCCATTAGCAGTCACTCCCCATTCCCTCCTCTCTTGCTCCCTCCTCCTCCCCCCACCTCCGCCCCCATCCCCAGGCTCCTGACAACCACTATTCTACTCTCTGTCTCTATGGATTTGCTGATTCTAGACATGTCATATAAATGGAACCACTTTTTATGTCTGGTTTCTTTAACTTACCATGTTTTTAAAGTTGATCCATGTTGTAGTATGTATCAGTACTTCATTTCTTTTTATTGCCAAATAATATACCATTGTATGGCTACACCACATTTTACCTGTTCATCAGTTGATGTACATTTGGCTTGTTTCCACTTTGTGGCTATTATGAATAATGTTATGAACATTCATGTACAAGTTTTTTGTGTAGACATATGTTAGCATTTCTCTTGAGCATATACTTAGGAGTAGAATTGCTGCATCATATAGTAACTCTGTGTAACTTTTAAAGAATTACCAAATTGTTTTCTAAATTGATTACGCCATTTTATATTCCCATAGGCAATGTATGAGGGTTTCAATTTCTCCACATCCTTACCAGACTTGCTATTGTCTTTTTTAGTATAGCCATTCTAATGGAAATGAAGTGATATTTCATTGTGGTTTTGATTTGCATGTCTGTAATGACTAATGATGTTGATCATCTTTTATTGTACTTATTAGCCACTTGTATTCTTATATCTTCTTTGGGGAAATGTCTATTCAAATGTTTTACCCACTTTTGAATTGGGTTGTCTCCTTATTATTGGATGTAACAGTTCTTTATATATTCTGGATAAAAGTCCCATAAAATATATGATTTGCAAATATTTTTGTCCATTCTATGGGTTGTCTTTTCACTTTCTTGATGAAAAGACAACCCATTAAAGCACAAAAGTTTTTAACTTCAAATAAAGTTTAATTTATCTATTTTTTCCTTTTGTCTTTTGTGATTTTGGTGTTACATCTAAAAAATGACTGCTTAATCCAAGGCCATGAAGATTTGGTCTGCTACCCTCTAAGAATTTTATAGTTTTAGCTCCTACATTTAGGTCTAGGCTCTGTTTTGAGGTTCATATATGTGTGAAGTAGTAGTCCAGCTTCATTCTTGTGCATGTGGATATCCAGTTGTACCATAACATCTGTTGGAAAGTCTGTTCCAACACTAAATGGTCTTGGCACCTGTATCCATCAGTGTCCTCCAGAGAAATAAGATCAATAGAATATATATAGAGAGATTTATTTTAAGAAATTAGCTTACATTATTGTGGGGTTGGTATGACTGAAGTCTATAGGGGCAGACCAGCAAGTGAATTTCATGTAAAAGTTGATGTTCAATTCTGAAATTTGCAGAGCAAGCCAGCAGGTGTTTGTGTTGCAGACTTGAAGCAGAATTGCTTCTTCTCCGGAAAACTCAGTCTGCTTTCCATCAAGGCCTTTACTACTTGGATGAGACCCACCCCGCTGGTGGAGGTTAATCTGCTCTACTTAAAATCAACTGATTTTATTTATTATTCATTCATTCATTCATTCATTCAGTCCTCACCCCAGGACACTTTTCCCACTGATTCCTCAGAGAGAGTGGAAGGGAGGGCAGAGACAGAGACAGAGAGAGACAAACATTGAGGTGAGAGAAACATGCCAATTGGCTGCCTCCTGCATGTGCCCAACCAGAACCTGGGATCAAGCCCAAAACTGGGGCATGTGCCCCTGCCTGGAATAGAACCTTCGGCCCTTCAGTCTGAGGGTCAACACTCTAACCACTGAACAAAACCGGCCAAGGCTCAACTGATTTTAAATATTAATCATATCCATAAATCTAGTGTTTGACCCAACAACTGGTAATAGCCTAGCCAAGTTAAAACATTACCCATCACAGCATTCTTGTAAAAAATCAATTGACCACAAATAAAAGGTTTACTTCTGGAGTCTCTATTTAATTCCATCGATCCATATGTCTATCCTTAAGCCAGTACCACAGTGTCTTCATTATTATAGTTTTGTAGTAAGCTTTAAAATCAAGGTGTAAGTCTTCCAACTTCTGTTGGGTTCAAGATTGTTTTGGTTATTTGTAGTCTCTTGCAATTAATGTGAATTTTAGATCAGCTTATCCATTTTAGGGGGGGCTGGGGGGGAAGCAGTTGAAATTTTAACAGTTATTACCTTAAATCTGTATGTCAACTTGGGGAGTATTGCCATCTTGATATTAAGTCTTTCAATCCATGCATATGTAATGAGTTTTCATTTGTTTAGATCGTCCTAAATTTCATAATAAAATGTCCTCCTTTGTCTCTGATAACAATTTTATCATAAAATCTATTTTGTCTGATGTTGGTATAACCATTTCAGGTCTCTTTTGGATACATTTTTCATGGTATATCTTTTTCCATCCTTTTTCTTTAAAACTATCTGTGTTCTAAAGAAAAATATTGAACTTAAAAACTTAAATTCTTTTACAGAGGCAGAGCTGCCTCAAACTGATTGTCAAACTGCAGCGGGAAGGCCAGGGAGGGTTGGGGGGCAGGAGGGAGGGGGGTAAGAGATCAACCCAAGGACTTTTATCATAAAATCTATTTTGTCTGATGTTGGTATAACCATTTCAGGTCTCTTTTGGATACATTTTTCATGATATATCTTTTTCCGGGGAAGGACACATATGTAATACCCTTTGTAATACTTTTAGCAATAAAAAAAAACTTAAATTCTTTTAAGTATATTTTTATTTCAGGTGGGTGTTAAAATGCAGCAAATAGGGTTTTTAAATTCATTTACCACACTTAAGGGAAAATAATCAACATAAAAAAATAAAAGGTATTCTTCCTTCTCCCAACTCTTCCTCAGTCCTTGATTTAAGTTATATTTATTCTACAAGATCAAATCTGGAGTCACTTACCTTCTAAAGGTTCACAAATCTGTTTAATGTCAAACCAGCAGGGAAAAGAAATTCCTCAGCAAGGAATTGCTCAGAAAGTACTGTACCATGTCTCCAAATTCCTGAGAATCAAGTCGGAAAACTGGAAGCAACAGAAAGCACTATAAGGTAGGTGATGTTCACTTTGTGACAAGTCACTTCCGAAATCTAAATGAACAAAGTATGAGGACACCTATGTACAGCTAGCTGGTTATTTTATTCTCCAGTAAAGCACTGTCCAATAAAAATATAATGTGACTCACAAATATAAACTACATATGTAATTTTAAAGTTTCTAGTAGTTATATTTTAAAAAGTAAAAAACAGGCAAAATTGTTAATATAGTTAATAATTATAGTTTATTAATAAATATAATTAATATATTTTATTTAAACCAGTATATTATCGTTTCTACATGTGACCAATGTTAAATTGTTAGTTATTCTTAATTTCCTACTAAGTCTTTGAAATGTAGTGTGTATTTTAATTTAAAGCACATCTTAATTCGATAGAAAAGCACACATTTCACGAGATCAAGAGCCATCATGGCTAGTAGTTACTATATTGGACAATGCAGCTATAGCATTTAATGTTGAAAATGGCTTTAAAATGCTCTATAATGATCATATCAAACTGAAATATTTTTCTTGACCACAATTATTATGCATTGCCATAACAAAGACTACTAATGTAATAGGATTATCAAAACGTAAGACTGGCCGGTGTGGCTCACCAGTTTAGTGTGGACCTGTGAACCAGGAGGTCATAGTTTGATTCCCAGTCATGGCACATGCCTGGGTTGCGGGCTAGATCCCCAGGGGAGGGCATGCAAGGGGCAGCCAATCAACGATTCTCTCTCATCATTGATGTTTCTCTCTCTCTCCCCCTCTTCCTTCCTCTCTGAAATCAATAAAAATATTTTTTAAAACTAAAAAAACAAAAAAATCACATAATAATCTAACAGGTAAATGTGCAATCAGAATTAAATTTAGAAGTTTTAGAGGCTTCAATCTGCATTAGTAATGATAGCTAACATTTAAGCATTTATTTACTCTGTACCAGGCACTATGCCAAGTATGTTAACGCATGATGAAAGGTACTTCTCTCTCCACTTCATAGAAGAGAAACATCCATCAGTTGTACACCACACACACACACATGCACCCCAACCAGGGATCAAACCCACAACTTGGGTATGTGCCCTGACCAGGGACGGAACCCACGACCCTTCTGTGCATGGAATGATACTCCAACAGAACCACACTGGCCAGGGCTGTAATAGTTCATTTATTTATATTATCTAAACTGACCCTCATAATAAGTTGTGATATAGAGAGCACAGGTACTTACAACTATCAGGACAAGTAGTTGTTCTTGTAGAGTCCTGGGGCAACTGTAAACAAATTACAGGTTGTTCATTTGGTAGAATCTTCTTTTATTTACATTCAGCACCCAATAAACCAGAAATGTTAAGGTATGGTGTCATTAAGGCAAGACCAAATTCTACCACAGTTGAGAGAAGCTTTCACAGAGGTTTTACAAACCTAACTTCTCCAGCCACCTCCATGTCTAGAAACTCCCATCAACATGGAAGTCCATACAACCAAGAACAGAAGCTGGAGGAGATTCTAATGTTCTCTTCCTAAGGATTTAGGACCAGACTGTCAGAGACTTTTGACAAACATCAAACATCCTAAATTACCTAGGTTTCATAAAACAGTTGAGAGAAACTTCCATTTTCCCAACCTTACCCTTTTTCACAAGGGGTTCTAAACCAGCGGTTCTCAACCTGTGGGTCGCAACCCCTTTGGCGGTTGAACGACCCTTTCACAGGGGTCGCCTAAGACCATCCTGCAGATCAGATATTTACATTACGATTCATAACAGTAGCAACATTACAGTTATGAGGTAGCAACGAAAATAATTCTATGGTTGGGTCACAACATGAGGAACTGTATTTAAAGGGCCTGAGCGTTGAGAACCACTGCTAGATAATTTATCTTATTTCACTGGTAACCTTGTAATTAAAAATGGTTTATAGTATGTGATTCCCAAAATCTTAATAACCATAGGAGATGACAAAGCCTCCTTAGAATCCAGACTTTACCACTGCTGACAAAACACACACACACACACAATAAAAAAACTACCCCAAATTAATGTACATAATGATCTTTGAAGAAATAATGTATTATGACAAATTGTCACATCTAAGAAACATCAATTCTACAAAGATAGGTCTGCAAACCTTTCATAGAGAAGCCTATCATTGTCACAGCTAAAACTTTCTAAGGGAGTTTTCTCCACAAATCAATTAGAATCCTTTAAAATACCTTGGCTGACAATCACAATTGCATGGGGATCCCAAGGCCTCTGCCCAGACATTCTGGACACAGTGGCCCAGATTCTAATGTACAGCCAAGGTTTTAAATAATTCACCAAAAGGCAAATGTTTTTTTGTTGTTTTTTTTTTAAATATATCTTTATTGATTTTAGAGAGGAAGGGAGATGGAAAGAGAGAGAGAGAAACATCAATGATAAGAGAGAATCATGGATTGGCTGCCTCCTTCACGCCCCCTACTGGGGATGGAGCCCACAACCCGGGCATGTGCCCTGGACCAGAATCGAACCCAGGACCCTCTTCTGTCTGCAGGCCGATGCTCTATCCACCGAGCCAAACCGGTCAGGGCAAGGCACATGTTTTAAGTCGACTTCCAAGGAGAACTTCAGCAAAATAGTCAACAGGAAATTAAATTTCCTACATTAAATACTATGGCCGGCCAGAGGTGGGGTACTCTCCACCTCGACCAACGTGTAATTTCATTAGAAAGGTGGTGTCCTTTTGAAGCAAAAACGACTTGTGTTCTGTTCTCCGGGCCACCTTAGCCCAATGTGGTGGGCAGAGGGGGGCTCAATCATCAGCATTGCCCTTTGATTTCACACGGCTCTCTCTCGCTCTCTCGGCCTGTGGCAGGCCCTGCAGTAGAAGAAGATGGGGTGTACCATCTATGCAGCGGTTCTCAACCTGTGGGTCCCGACCCCTTTGGCAGTAGAACGACCCTTTCACAGGGGTCGCCTAAGACCATCCTACATATCAGATATTTACATTACGATTCATAACAGTAGCAACATTACAGTTATGAAGTAGCAACGAAAGTAATTTTATGGTTGGGTCACAACATGAGGAACTGTATTTAAAGGGCCAGAAGGTTGAGAACCACTGACTATGCATTAGTGTGCTCCACTTAAATACGGTCTCCGAGCCCCCCAGTACCTGTGGGAGTCAACAAACACGAGAGATCAACCCTATAAACCAGTGCTGCTTGGGGTCGGGGGGGGGGGGGGATCTCTCTCAACTGCTGGCAACCAAAAAACAGGACCCCCGAACCCGGAATTGAAGGAATAGTCGCGGATCCTGGGGTGGGGGAGCGGAGGCGGGTGCGCTACACA